GAGAGCAGCATGCTGCATCGCTGCACGTCTGGACCTCTGCCATAGCCACTGTCAGAAAAGTTAACGCTCCGGTCTGTAAACCATTAACTATGAACTTTAAAATTCCAGAGCCAGACGTTTGACTGTCGGCAAAGTCTGTTTTACTTTACAGCTTCGTCTGGCCTTAACCTGCCTTTTTAGATGATCAATGACAAATAAGAGTGTCCACAATGAAGAGGGAAATTCTTTCAAAAGCTATATTAAAACACATTTTTTCTTAGAAATGCACACTTTGCATTCGTGTTAGTGTCAGATGGTTTTGAGAGATGATTTTTGTTTTGCCATTTAAAAAAAAAATTCAAATTTTTACGCATGTTGTGTTCACTTGTGTTATCTTTTACTAATATTTAAATTTGTTTGATGATCTGAAACATTAAAGTCTAAATTTCTTTTAAAAAAAAAGAAATCAGGAAGGGGGCCAACACTTTTTCACACCACTGTAGATGTCATGTGGTGTAACCATGAAATAAAAAATAACACATTTTCTTTACAGATCGAATACAACTGAGTTTACACATCTTAATATTTAAAAATAAAAAGGTTTTTGATATATTTTTCATGGTAAAAATTATTTGTATTTATTGATTTGTTTATTTATTTATTACAAATATCATGAATTATTAATTCAGTAATATTAACAGTTTGGTTAGTTGCTCCACTTGAAATTTTTGAAGAGATTTATTAACCTTGACACATAGTCATTCTTTTTCCTGTTTGTTTCTGCATATTGATTGAATCTCATGACTTTGTTGGTTGTACCACATGACTTTTTTTTTTCTCTAAGTAATGATAAAACATGCAAAACTGCTCCCATTTTTTCTTAATTAGTTTTTTTCTCTTAATTAAGATATCAGGAGAGTAGTAGCAACCTGAAACTGTTGATTTTATGCCCCCAGAAAGATTTCATTTGTTGTATTTTAGTTTATTGGCTAATAAAAAAAATATAGCTATTGAAAATGGCTACTGGCTAATGAAATAGCTAATGGAAAATATAGCTACATTATGTCTAATATATTTACAACTACTACTATTAATAATTTTATGCCAGTATGCTACTTTTAGAGCTCTTCTCTTACAATATGCTTACAATAGATTTATATTGCTATAATCACATGGGTGCAAATGTGGCATACGAGAAAACATCATACCTAAAATATAATCGGTGAAGACAGTAATATCGAGGTCAGGGAAACTCGCCAGACACTTTTGGTGAGATAAATATGTGCACTTGTCCACAGAGACCCATAAGACAGATAGAGAGCCATTAGAGAGGAGAAATACACCACTTATCTACAAGTAATGTGTTGATACACACCACTACCTGCAGGGATATAGGGCTCAGATTAGGTTTTCCAGCTGTTTAGATACATCAGAAGAGGAAATGAGGTCAAATATGTTTTATTAAGTGTTAAAATTATCACAATCCTACGCATCTTTTTTTTAATATAAGAAGCTAATCTACACATATTTACTAATTATGGATATGTGAGTCTTTAATGAGTGTTAAAGGACTGTATCCAGTCAACAAAACACTTCAAGGTGGAGCCATGGGATACGGCCTGTCAGCACATCTATAGACAGACCGTTCCTGTGATGTAATGGAAGAGTGTTTAACTTGTTATAGTATATATCTGTGTTAAATGATTTACTGTAATGTATAATATGCAGTTAGTGTTGTTTGCTTCTGCGCATAAACATTAAATATAAAATAATTATAAAATGTCATGTAATGTTCTTGCATCATTTTAGCCGTTAACTATTCTTTTTTTTTTTAATTCTTTTCTTTAGCAGTGTCTGTAGTACATCAAACTAATGTGTTATGTGTTTCTCAACCTTAGTTTGGTGAATATGTGAATCATCTGTGGTGAAAAGAATGTGTTTGGTTTGAAAATAGAAATGGCAGACAGTTCAGGGGAAAAAAAGCATTTGTCTGTCCTTGTATGAATAGAAATGGACTCTATGGAAAGGATATAACGAATTAAATAATATTACATGGTGAATGTATGATCTATTTTGATGACAAATGCATAAACTAAAACAGAAGGGTAATTTTATGGATAAACAGACAGCAGCGTCAGTAGAACAAATCAGCTTTCAAAAGACATCCACCAGTTTACTTTTAAAACCTGATAAATTAATAAATAACATATCCACAAACTAAATGGACAACAAGACACGGGACAGTGTGCACAATCCGGGCAAGAATGTGAAACGAACGAAAACCCTTCCCAATGACAATACACACGAAACCAAATCAGAACGCACTCTTAGCGACATCTAGTGGTCACTGAGAGAACAACATGCATTTAGAACGGCATGAAAATAAAGCAGTTCATTCCAAATTAATTTCAATGCTGCTAAATGCAGATATTTACTTACAAAATATACATCACAATGACCTAAGTGAGCACATCCACAGTCCTAGGCCTATCGCTCATGTCCTCAGTGTCTCTGTACTGAATGGTGACTGTGATGGTACTCTCAGAATCATGATTGTCCCCCTGGGGGTCAGTGGAGTCTTCTGCTTTGAGGCTCTGTGTCATCTCGGCCCTCCTCATCCTCTGAATCTGTTGTATATTAAAATGTTATATTACTTGTTTTCCCTGACCAACAAGCATCACTATGAGCATCACTCCCACCTGGTGTTTGATGGACGTGGATGTTATTTCACTTACCGTGGTAAAGAAAATCAAGCAATTCTTGGATGAACAAAAGCTCTCGCTCCGTCAGGGGCTGTTCTGCGAAATTCCTGTAATCACTCATTTCAAATGAAAAATAATTACCAAAATCATTGCTGGTGAAAATTCAGGTGAGCTGATCCAGCAGCTAATATTCCAACAACTTTTATTCATAACCAAACATTCTTAAATATCAACATGCTGAGACTCAAAGAAAAACAGTTATACACACTGATCTATAATAGAGAAGAGAGTCATTATATATAGATCAGTGGTTATACAGTATTTCTAGTACTACAGTTAGGATTTAAATAATAATAATAATGATAATTGACAATATTACCACAGTAAGCAGATACAATAATAGCCATTTAACCATAATTCTTTCTTTCTGTCTTTCTTTCTTTCTTAATCAATTAATTATTAAATTTTGAAATAATGAACTAGACCATACCTCATATCTATGCGATGCCTTATGCATTCATAATCGTTAGTGTTACTCTGACGTCATAATAATGTACTTGTGGTGTGGCACATAAAGTCAATTAATGCAGGCTTATCATTATAAGTAAATAACATCGTCACATTCATCCATCCAACGCTAGATGACGCATACGTCTACCAAATGTTGTGCGAATCTTTCGCTGTCACCATGTCCTGTAAATGTCACATTGTGAAGTTAATATGGATCCCTCCGCGCCAAATTATTCTTGAAACCATTAAAACTGCTCAGCTACTTCATGAAGACTTGGGAAACATCATGACATCTTTCATTATTTCACCCTTTTCATTTAGATCTTACAGTATCATGGCCTATTTGTGTTCATTTTGTCATTTGATATTTTATTTTACATAAAGCAATACTTTTTATGTTGTTTATTTGTATTTTATCAGTGTTATGGAAACATTGTATTACATTCTAAAATGTATATGTTTGTATGTATGTATGTATTCATAATATATTTGTAATTATTTATGTTTAATATTGCCGTTTAATAATAATAATGTTAATTTTTATTTTTATTTGTTTATTTTTTCATTATATTAAATGAAATAGCATTTCAACAACTGAAATAGCATCCTGATGATCCGACGATAGCTGCTCGGATCTCAGCATGTCTAACAGACATTTCTTTTTGGATGACGGATTTTTTCTATTCTATCTACTTGTTTTTCTTTGTATGTGTGTGTATAATATATATATATATATATATATATATATATATACACCTTGCTACGTGTACTGCGTTAGGCTAACCGAGACTTGCCATTTGCACTTATATATTGTTGCTCTTTTGTTAGTTTTGACTGCTTTTATTGTCCTCATTTGTAAGTCGCTTTGGATAAAAGCGTCTGCTAAATGACTAAATGTAAATGTAAATGAAAAAGGCCTAATAATATGTAAGTGTTGATATTTGTGTAATATTTTCCTATTTTGTTTGTACAGCCATGACAATAAAACACTTTAAAAAAGAATATTTGCCCAGTGATATCAGCCTGTGTGTATGTGTGTGTGTTTAGTCGGTGTGATTTTGCGTAGCCCCTCCCCCAGGCTACAATCTGCTGCGCATGTCACAGAACGCCGCTGATCACGTTGTGCACGTGCAGCACGCTGATTTTGTTGTTTTATGACTATTTATTTATGAATAAAGCGTGAAGTGTTGCTTTTGATATTTAAATAGTATATATTATGGAGTACAAAGAGTAAACTGACAAAGTTTGTGATTCCGTAGTAGTAATAAAATCTTATTTACAGTACATAATATATATAGCACTTATATATATTATTAGCACTTGCATACCATTGCTCTTTATTGATTTTGATTACTTCCATTGTCCTCATTTGTAAGTCGCTTTGGATAAAACCGTCTGCTAAATGACTAAATGTAAATATAATATACAGCTGCTTTACTTTTATTGTCTCGCCTCGGGCTCTGCTCTGTGTGTCATTTGACATGATCATCATGTTTGTAGGTCAGTGACCTGGTGTTTTCGAATCAGAAAAATAAAAACTCAAAACCCTAATAATGTTTTTAACAGCAGTTCAGTGTATGAATTGAATTTTATTGTGAAAAGTAGTACGCCTACAGTCTTCATTCATCGAAACCTCCAAGTGTTCGTGATTGAGCTCATGTCTGCAGTGGCAGAAGGCGCTGGTGTCGGCACTGGTCGGATTTCCCTTCGGCAATTTCCGTTTATGTTAACCACGCCCCTATTTCCCTTCGGGAGTTTCCGCGGACGTTAATCACGCCCCTACAGTGCTCAGCGTTGTTTAGGGACATTAGGAAGATGGCGGCTGCCCCGCTCTACTGTGTCTGCCGGCAGCCCTATGATGTTAACCGGTTTATGATCGAATGCGACATTTGTAAAGACTGGTTCCACGGCAGGTATGGAAATTATGGCCTCCTTAACGGATGTGGATCGGTTGGTATGTACAGGCCGCCTTGCCACGGGGGTATTTTGGCTGTAAATCAGGGGTGTCATGTGAAAGTGCTGGTGACGTTCGATGGGGTTATTTAAATATGACGGTGCGAGATCACGCTCGACTTGAATGTGATTTGAGCGTTATTGATCGATTTCTGTCAAATGTTTTTGTGATAAATGTGTACAGGGAACTTTTAAGACAACCTGTCTCCCACAATCCTTCCCTCAGGATTGAATTTTTCTGCTTTCCTTTAGAAGTGAGCTGCCAAACGCCACATGGCTCATATGTATGTGTTATGAAACTAGACATTTAAATCGTCTGTCTGCTTGAGCTTGACGTGCTTGGCTGAACTTAGAGAAAAAGGATGTTTCTCGCTTTATAAAACTCGGATTGAACGCAAAAATTATGCATTTTATGATTTATATGGTCATTAGCCGAAAGTTTACATCTTTGCTTTGAGACTTGCCTCAGCTGAGTGAGTTTCTTTACAAATATTGATCAAGGTAGTATAGTTTATTGAACTACAATAAAATGTGTGTGTATATATATATATATATATATATATATATATATATATATATATATATATATATTAGTTAATATGTAATAAACAGAATTGCGTTTTGACAGGTATGCATATACTGTGTATGTATTTATGATAATCATGTCTGATCGTGCCATACTGTTCTCTCGTGTCACATTGTTTATGTGGCAAGACAAATGATGCAATATGAGCATTTCTAGTGCTTGGCAGAACAGGTATTTTTCTGATAAGTAGATACACAACCAAAACCATATCCATCTTGGCATGCCACAATTTTTGGCATATTGCCAAAAGTAGCTGCCTTTAAGCTTCAGGACAGAATCTTATCTGTAAATGAGCCAGGGCTGAGCTTCCCTTCCTGTCTTGTGAAGTAACCGCCAGTACACAGTGAGCGGTTGTGCGGGTGTTGAGAATTAAGTCTTGCGTGACTTTGTGGAGCTGCCAGATTCCCCAAACCCTGTGAGAGTGCGAGACAAAGATTGGAGCCTTTGCAGGCCAGAAGAAGAAGTGAAGGGAACGAGTGCGATTCTGCAGCGTCAGTGATGCACAAAACTGTTACCACATGCTCTGTGTCACTTCGCTCCAGATTGACGAGACTCAATCTTCCCAAAATCAGAGATGTGAAACTTCTCGTCTCACCGGAAAGTGTTGCAGATTGAGGATGTCTGTCTGAATGCACGTGAGGTGAATGTCTGAACCTGTGAATCAGTTACTTTAAAAGAGACTGTGAATCTAACCCTGAGGGCATCATGAGATGTTACGCTTAGTTCTCTTTAGAAGACATTTCATCTGGAGAGTTATAGCAGGTCGAGATTTGTTTAACGAGACCCTAGCTCTTTGAGGGTTACAGGTGAGTTTAGGTGGCCACAGATCTGCTGATTGATGGAGCTGCAAGGTCAATACGCAGTAAAGAGCTCAGGTTGAGACCATCTTTTGTGCTTTTCAGACTGAAAATAAACAAATTCTGAGTGTCGTCAAAGAGGCCAGTTAACCCTTAGTTTCAATTGGAAACTTCAAGAATGCATTGGTTTATTTAGGCTTGGTGTTTCACCATTGGTCCACCTGAGCTTTGTCTTAAAATTAAACTCCTCTTGAAGTTGAAATGAAAATTCACCCAACCTACAAAGTTATTAATATTATTATGAACAAACATAACTTGGAACTTCCGGTGAAATGACAGACTTTACTCTAGTGACGTATGCCAGACTTCTCCAGTCATTTAGCCTGATTAAACTCCTCCCCTTTCTTACAATCAACTTCAGATCTGCCTCGATCTAATCAACAACCCTTTTTTAAAGGGTTTATTTTCCCTTTGTTTTATTGAGATATACATTAGAAAATACTCGCCACTACTTCTCTCATTGGCATGTTTTGTTATGTACTCATAAAATGGCAGTATAGTGTAAGAATTAGTTAGGTGTTACAAAAACTTTTAGCAAGAATTGGGCTAGAAATATTGGATGTATAGGGGGAGGATCCCTAAGCAAGAAAGGCTTAGGGTCACATAGGGTCAGCAGATGCGTGCATGGACACCCTATCTAGCCTTACTCTCCCAAATACAGACTTGTTTGGCTCTGAATTGCTCATAGTTGGGAATCCTTCTGCATTATACAAAGAATGGCTTGACACTGGCCTAAACTTGACTCTTTCTTGCTGTTTGTGGATCATTCTTAAAAATGTATCTGCCACAACAAAGTGCCTAACTTGAATGTGTGCACTCTTGACAAGCTTGATGAGCTTGCGAGAGAAAGAGGGCAAGTAAAGGCAATGTTAAAATACTTTCCCTCCTCTGGTCCCTGGGTTTGTGAGGATGTTTTGGTGTTCGACTCATTATGTCTCATTAAATCCTAAATCTGCTTCTGAGTCTCAACAAAAGCCTAGTGTGAGTCGCTTCCAGACCTAAGACGCCCTGAAGATTAGTGTTGACTTACCAGGGCCTGGTTTGTTGACCCCTGCCTGCTCTGTTGAGGGTTAATCCAATGAAATGGTCAGGTTTATTTGTTACGGAAGTATACAGACAATAAGTTAGATTTTATGTAACATATTTAAATAAAACGCTTAAATTGTCACTATTTAGTTGGTAGTTTCTATTTGATTTTCACTATTGGCACTGTCCAAGGTAGTAATGTGGGCGCTCCACAGATCCGATGGAGTATGAAATCTGTTGTTCTACTCAAGTCCAAATCATACTCCGGTTTTTATGAGTACACACTGTACTTTGGGCTTTAGGCCATGGTTACAGTTTATTTGTTTTTGGCCACTAGAGAAAGTTAATCAGAGGGTTCCTGACTAATACTTTCTTGCTTTCTGTGCCTTTGGTTCTCTGGTGGGTAGTTAATCAGTTACTCAGGTGACAGAAAGGCTGACTCAACTCCAGGCATGTGGCACACTGACCTGGTTCACATGGTGTTATGAAACTAAGACAGGGAGATAAATGGAGCAGTTGGTATATAAAAAAGCATTATGGGAAGGATGGCTAAACTCCGTGACAAAATGAATGTAATAAGATGAAGATTGTTTAATGAGCCAGGCATAATGTGAATGAAGCCGGGTTAATGGAAAAGTGGAGAAGTAAGATCTAGGTGTAGCTGTTCTTCATCACCACTAGGCAAAACACATACAATCAACATTCACAATGAAAATGTTATTTTTGGCTCATACCAAAAAGTTTATAACCTGATTTTTTTATTTTTCTTGTACAGTCGGTGCTCAAATAGCTTTTAGATGGTTATGGCATTGTTGTGCCGTTCACATGGACTGATCTCATAAATGCTATTATTCTAAAATGACTTTGAAGCATTATGGGATTGTGTGTTCATAGTGCATAGTAGGAGCCTGTTTGGTTGTATGGAACAAGTACAGCTTTTATATTTCCCTTAAGCTGATTGAATTGTGTTGGTCTTTAACTGCTGAGAACTTCAGTTCATTCATCAACTGTGTGACAGGATCTGAGTGCTCTGTTCTCTCCCTCATTGTCTGGTTCACGTAGGAGGGAAGCGGAGGAGGAGAGTGGGTGTAGAGTCATTCATCCTTAAACCTTTCCTCCCCCATCTGCTCGTGTGTCATCGCATGTCTGGCTGTGATACCCAGGTGACTTTATCGCAGCATGAGCTGGAGTCACGGCACTGCTTCAAGCCATCTCATTTGGAGACTGAGATTTTATTCCAAGTGAATCATAGGGATAATAGACAAAAATCTGATTAATTCTTCAGGCTTTGAATTGTTAATCTAATGGTTTCAGACCACAGTTGTACGGATCCACACTGTAATCTCTCCCGAACTTTACTGACAATATCAAATTAACTGTTTTAAAGGTAACTGTTGCCATCTGTCATAATGTCTGACAGATGATCTTTTCTAATGATGGTCTACAGACACCTGCGTGTATCAAATAATATGGTAAAAACATTAATTGAGAGGATTTTTTTACATAATTTTCTATTAAAAACCACATGCAGTGGAAGAATTTTTGTCAGCATCAATTTTAAAAGCATTTCAGTGTCTGAAAAAAAGCTGCATTTTGGGTTGCAGTTGGAAAAATGTCTATGAGTATGGGATAACTGATTCCGATAATGGACCATATAGACATAAAATGACACTGTAAAATTCTTGCCAACAGAAGCTGAATAGTGTTGATGGTATTGACCTGATTATAAAGGAGATTAAGCCAAGTAACAGCACCAGCTAGACCTCGTCTGGGACGACAGCAGCTTTCTGCTTCCTGGTTGTACTTAGTTTTTCTTGCTGTTTCCTGCAATAATGAGGAGATCAAAGCTGAGACAGCAGCACATTCAATCCTCTGCCTGTGTTCAAAGGCTGTCTTCTCTTTGAGGAGAATCACCTTTCTGCTCAAGTCCCCTGCTGATTTTAACAGCCCCATATAGCATAGTATCCACTCTTGATGTTAACTCTATTCTGATGGCGAGAAAGGAAGAGAGAGCCAAAGCGTTTACTGCAGCAATATTAGAACTCAAATAAGACTTTATCTGGAAGAGTTAAACTGCTCTTGTGATACATGATTGCAGCAATATCCCGTAATCTTCAGAACATGTGTCTATGTACAGCTTCTTCATTACCAGCAAATACCGCAAGCGAAATCAAAGATGTCATTTTGAACAAAATCAAACCAAAACGAAGATATTTTCGGTAGTTTGAAACTGATTGCCAATTGCAGAGCTGGTGCAGGCATATCCACATTGCACCTATCAAACGCTTTCTTAACATCTGTTTTCTCACCAATGTCGTTTTTGTTTTTATTTTGTTATTCAGAGGAAAGCACACAACAGATTTTTATATATTCATCAGGATGAACAGCTGCTTGGGTATTTCTAAGCAAAGAACGTTAAAATAAAAAAATTGTCATAGCAAAGTCGGAATTGACCCTTTTTTTTTTCTTTTTTTTAAATAGCCTTTGTGCA